CAACCCCTCCTCATACCATAAAGATGCATATATGTATATAGTTATATGCATATATATAAATAGATAGATAGATAGATGAGTCAGTGAACTTTAATGAAACGGTCTGTCATAACTGTTTCATTATTATCTTTTTGATCTTTATAACTACGTTTAACTTGGCAGTTTTGTTTGACAATATATGTATACATATACGGAATATGTATATATATAGGGTTTCCGACGTTCGGGACGGGTCAAACGCCCGAACGTTCAACACCGCTTCTCAATGCGGAAAAAAAAATAAAAATAAATAAATAAATAAACAAATAAATCTGAAAAAATATACGTTATGCAGAATAATACACTAAACAATATTCGCGTCAATATTACATTCAAATTCGTTACCAAATTTGAAATGAAAATCAAATACTAAAAATAAATAATAATAATAATAAATAAAAAAAATAAAACGAGAATGAAATTATCGAGTGTGCGAGCACGTTTTTGACATCGCCATCTTTAACGAATTTTTTTTTTGTGTGACAAATGCCACGAAAATTTATATATGTGTATCTTACATAATAGAGAATATACTAATAAAGTTTGAAAATATATATATATTTTTTTATGCCATGAAATAAAGGAAAAACAAAAAGTGAAAAGAAAAAAAAAATAAATTAGTGAGTGGGCAAACAAGTTTTGACACCACCATCTTTGTCGATTTTGCATTTTGTTTTGGCTGAACAGAATGGCTTCAAAATTAAGAGGGAGATACCTTACATCACAAAAAACTCATAAAATAACTTTCATATATAAAAAAAAAATATTTAGGCATCAAAATATTTTTTTGCGGGGTTTGAGCCCCTTCAGGTTCGGGCCCCATACGGGAACCCGAACGCGCAAATGTTCAGGGGTCAGCTTAGAGGCCTCTGTACGTTCAGCCTGACAACCATGTATATATATATATATATGCATATATATATGTATATATATATATATATCGTAAATGTATATTTTCAAACTATAACTACTGAGCAATACTCTTATCTCAGTTCTATCTCTTACTATCTTCCTACCACTAATACTCAGTCTATACAGGGGACCCATGCAAACATGTCTACCTCTCGCAATCAAGAGGGTGCATGTTGCCCCTCCCGAAATTGACGGTGGTCAGGGTGTAGGGTGGACTTAACGGTGGAGGGCGCTGACTAAGGCAAATACCGATTATTTTGATAGTATTTGCGCCTTCCATCTACCGCACGCTCCCCTCGAGTAAGAATTGTATTTGTTGCCAATACTCTCCCATGCACTACACACAACCCACACATAACTCACACATTCACACACACTAAAAATCCAACGAAGCAGTTTGGGAGAGTGACGTCTTTTTTCTATAGAGTCATGACAGTGAGCATGACAACACACCCATCATCTCCCATCTACCTCCGCCCCTATAGAGTAATAACAGTGGCTATGGCGAGCATTCTCCCTCCCTCCCACACGGTGAAAATCAGATGAAGCATTCTACTACAATCGTACCTTCTTTATGGAGTTGTGAATAGTAAACATCATGATATACCCGTGATGCACAAAGACCCTACGAGTATGCATTGGGTGGAAGCAAGCCATCTCTCTCAGGTGGTTGACACCAAGCCTGCCGCAGACAACTGAACTCACGACCTCATGAATGCCACTTGGGCACCCTAACCAACTTAGTTAGACCGCTTGCTGAGTATATATAAATATATATTATATATGTATTTATTTATATACAGGGTCACCAGCTAGTACTTACGCAGGTCCCCGGGCAGACCTCCTTACGTACGGGCATTCGGGGTCCCGTACGGGATCCGAACCCAACCACGTTCGGCCCCCGCCAAAAATTATTTCGGGGCCTATATATATATATATTTTTAATTTTCTTCTGCGAGTTCTCTATGATGTGAGGTACATTTGGCTCAGCCAAATAAGATTAGAAATCGCCAAAGATGGTGGTGTAAACATCTGTAAATTTTCAGGGCATTTAGCTGTGCCAAAAACAAATGAAAAATCATCAAAGATGGCGGTGTCGAAAACATGCTCGCGCATTCACTAAATTAAACTTTTTTTTTTTTTTTTTTTTTACTATTAATATTTATTTTTTGTATTTTATTTTTATTTCAAATTTGGTCAGGAATTTAGATATAATGCTCAGACAAATCTTGTTTGATTTATTTTTCTTCATAACATATCTTTTTTTAAGTTTTTTTTTTTTCTTTTTTTTTCCCCTTTTTGGTCCGCGTTCGACCTGAACGGCCAAACGCATCCCCAACGGGTCCCATACGTTCGGGTGTTCGGCCCGTCCTGAACGTCGGTTACCCTGTTTATATATATATTTATATATATATTATATATATATATATATTTCTTAAAGCAACACAATGCAATGATATTCCGAAAATGGAGCGCCGGGGTCCCACAATTCAACCCGGAGTCACATAAGTTATCCTGGCAGCCTGAACCACTTTAGCTTATCCGCTCTCTCAAATCAAAATGTAGAACCTACCTTGTTTCCCTTACTACTGGGGCGAGGTCCGCAATGAGGTCTGGGGCGAGGTCCCATTAGCAGATCACAAATGATCTGATGGTGGTGGTTGCAACAACCGTGAACAAAGTAACTGCCGCATTTTCTGGAATAAACTCGCCTTCTGTCATCACTGATCATGACACCCTCCATATACTCCGTGATTGAAGGAGGGCTCCGAACAATGAGATCATTGCACAACAACAAGTAAAATACTGAAAATTTTCTATCTAGTGGGCCTAAGGCCAACTCCGCTCTCCTTTGGGGTTGGCCACACCCCCAATCGATTGAAAAGATTATGGCGGGAAGCTTTCTTTGCACGGGCATGCCCAGGGAGGAGGGGAACAAAAATCTCCTTACTTTTTCGGGTAATACATGTACAATACTGACCGAGGGATCACGAGTAGTGCACGACAGGATTTGGGTCACTCAACTGCCCCACAAACTCGTTTCTATCCTATCCCGTTGCTAGTGGGACCTCGCCCTTGGGGCCTGGACCCACCAGCGAAGTATTCTACGACGTGTGACATAGTTTTATGATTTTTTGGAAAATACAAAGTGATTTTTTATTTGCATGAATGGATTGTTTTCTGATTTAAAATGAATTGCAATAGCACATAAAACTATGAAGAACAGTTGTGCACCCGAATTCATGGGTTGGTACGATATCCTTCACATAAGTTGTCATACTGATGTACCGTGGCAATAAAATGTGTCCACGAACACAGCCACGAGGATAAACAAGTAATCGCTATAGGGATACATTCATCCCCATGTATCTCATGATGCCTCTAACAGGCCATCCGACAGACGTGGAAGCGTTCCTGTCAGATGCACCACAATATTCAAAATTTCACATTTCAAGTTCTATTTCTCAGAGCCAAAAAAAAAACAACGAAGTCTGGAAATCACCCCCCCCCTTTTAAAGCCCATAAAATCCTGACTTCCCGCCCATGCAAAGCCACGAGCTATCATGTCCAAGTTAGTCCAACTTCGTTTTTTATTTTTATTCGATGCATCTCATTGGACGGGAGGTGGGCATCTTCCCCGCTCGGAAACTACCAGGCCGTCGAGATCCTGAACGGTGTGGTAGAATACCTTGCTAGTGATCGACGGCCATACTCAGTCACTCTATGCCACACGTGATCGAAATCCTGAACGGCGTGGTAGAATACCTTGCTAGTGGGTCCAGGCCCCTGGTCTAGCCTGCTTCACAGACTTACGAAACAGTCTTTTTTAATTTTCTTGAATTCCCTCAAAAAAAGGACTTAGTAACTGCTGCTTGAGTAGCCTAGCAATAGGTCATAAAAAAAAAGAAAAAAGAAAAAAGAAAAAAGAAAAAAGAAAAAGACCCTCTCCTTTCCCTTCTATATATATTCCCCCTTCTATATATCGTCAAATAGAACTGCCCGGTAAACCCTAGGCAGAGAGGGAGAAGAGGACAACAAAACTGTTCGTCGGAGTTTCACCGACTCATCAGGAGGCTGAACCCTCCACAGTCTGTAGAATCCCCTCACTGATTACACTGTAAGTGATAATCCACCTTAACCAAAATCAAAGTAGACTATCACTCACCCACACCAGATGGAAAACTCTACAGTCGGTTCACACCCCATCACAAGCCTCATATATAGCTTATATATATTTTTCCAGTCCAAAAAAAATCATATATTTTTTGTAATACTACACTGCTCTCGCTTGTTTGCGGCGTTGTGGTTAGTGGCTGATCGGATTTCAGTGTGGACGATCGAACGACCGGACGTTTCCATTTCCATTCGGCGAGGTGTCTGTCGGGTGGATAATCCAGTAACCCGCTGGCTTTGGCTGGGACTCGTGCCTCCCTTCTCTTTGTCCTCTCGTCTCTCGTTTTCTCCCCATCGGTATCCAGTGGTCGCCGCAGGCCCGCTTATTATCTCTTATCTACGATAGCCCCCCTTTCCCCAGCATCCTCCGCCACATTCAACTGCGAGGCTGACATCTGTCTCTTGCCCGCCCGCCCGCCCGCCCGCCCGCCCGCCCGCCCGGTCAGTACCTACGCGCCGAGCCGTGGTGGTATGGTACTCGCTCCACTACTTACCCAATGTGCAAAATGAGAATGAATTTTCCGCTTGAACATGGAAAGATACACCGCCATATTTTGTCTATTGTGGATGTGGTAGCTTAGTCGTGGAGTGAGGCCTGAAGACACCGCACGCTTTTGTGTGTGTGTGTGTGTGTGGAGAGAGAGGCCATCACATCGAGATGGCGAGAGGGAGGCAAACACTGGAGTAGGCCGACTGCTTCGCCTCCCAGGCGCGGGGGCTCGTCGCTTTTCGTGTCTGCGCGGGCCGAGACGGAAGTCGGGCCGGTTGGAAGTGGAGGGACGGGGAGGAAGTGCTGTGTTACAACCACAAGGCAAGTGCGAAAAGGAATATAAGTGCTTCGTCGGACGTTTGCTATTCACAGTGCGGCTGTCGCCGCCGCCGCCGGTGCCGTTGTTCCTTCTGCTCACGCTCTCTTTATCTTTTTCATTCGTAGATTGTGCGTATCTGTTTTGGGAGTCGACGAGACCACTACGCCTTACCATTCACACAGCGGGATTGGTTTCTTCAGTGTATGCCTGTGCTTGTGCTTGTTTGTGCGTGGGCGTGTGTTGCGATCTGAGTGACTAACTAGTTACTTCGCCAAGGATACAGGGACACGTACGTCCATAGGTGGATGCACAGATAAATTAGACAGGCTGACGCAGAAGATATAGACACACTCCGGTAGGCTTCCGGGAGTGGGGTATGCGCTTGCCAGTTCGAGTTGTTTGTGAGCTCCCGTTTAGCAACGACGGGTCGATTGCCTTACTGCGGGGAAACGTAACGCCCGAGCGACGTTGTTGTCCTCTCACAGCGCCTCTTCCTTAGTCTCCCTGTCGTCGTTTTCTCTGGAGCGCGCTTGATTGGTAGTGTCTCGACCTTTGTATCTTTCGTCTTTGTGTATATCTGGCGCTTGCACCGTCGCCTCGTCGTCCGGTTGCCGGCGGCTGTCTCTTTCCGTTTTCCGTTGTTGGCAGATAGCTGCGGTACAAGGTGGAGGCCGGGCTGGAGCGACGTTGTCTGTGCCGTATACTTCCACGACCGAGCTTGGAATTGATCGTGTCGCGTTTGTGAATTTAGAACGGGGTTGCTGTAAAGCAAGGCGACCGGCAAGGGAGGAGGAGAACCGACAGAGCAAGTGGAGGAGAAAGCGATGGCGAGGAAGACGGGCCGAACGAAGAGCCAGGTCTCCGACACGTCTGCGGGGCCGTTGTCTCCGCCTCCGACGCCGCCGCCGCCTCAGCGCCACGCGGAGAGCGCTCCACAACTGGCGCGCAGCGAGGAGTCGGTGCCACTGCCGCTGTCTTCGTTGGATGAAAGTGGAGACGCGCTGTCGCTTCCGGCGACGCGGAACGGAGATTCGGTGGAATTGTCGTCGACATGCAACGGCGAACTAGTTGAGCTGTCATCAGGGTGCAATGGAGATGCGGCGGTGCAGCTGTCATCGGCGCGCCATGGAGGCGCGGGAGTACTGCAGAGCGAAAACGTTCTGGAGTTGACGAGCGAGCCATTGGATATCAATCGGTACTTCAAGGTTGTCGAGGACAAAACGACGGGAGCAGTGGCCAGCTTCCAAGGGATCGCCCGGGACAGATTCGAAGGCAAGAAGGTGGCAAGGTTGGAGTACGAGGCCTACCATGCGATGGCGATCTGTCAGCTGACGGAAATCTGCCGAGAAATGCGAATGAAATGGCCCGTGAGAAAGATAGCCATTGGACACCGCACAGGAAAGGTCGAGGTCGGGGAACCCTCAGTCATCATCGTCGTTTCCTCGGTGCACAGGCGGGAGGCTCTGGAAGCCGTCGATTTCTCAATCAACGAGATCAAGAAGAGGGTCGCGATCTGGAAAAAGGAGATCTACGAGGAAGGGGATGGCATGTGGAAAGAAAACGAAGAATTCTATCATTTGAGGGATAGGTTGGGGGCAGCGTAACCATGTTACAGAAGAGAAGATAAGCGAGCATGTGTTTGTTTGTGTGTGTGTGTGTGTGTGTGTGTGAGAGAGAGAGAGAGAGAGGGCGGAAGTGCGATGTTCATTAGCGGATGAGATGAGATGACGCCGAATGTTGAGAGAAGATTATGGGAAGGGTGGGGAGCTCGGTTAGGCTTTATGGCCGTGCGTGCTGATGTCAGATGGGCTGGTGTGACGTCGAAGTGGGATGTGGAAGAGAGCGGCGGTTACTCTCCTTTCTTCCCTCTTCTCTTCCTCTTTTACTAGGTACTTTTGATTGACACTTGTCGTTACCTTTCCTCGCCCGCAATCCTTACTGCCGAGATCGTTGCAATAAATGCGTGTTTGCCTGTGTGCGTGCGAGAGAGAGGGAGAGAGAGAGAGAGAGAGAGAGAGAGAGAGAGTGGTGGTGGCTGTAAATTTAAAACAAGTAAGCAAGTTGGTACGGAAAGAGGATTGGAGGAATGAACGATTGGTGTGTGGATTGTCGTGTGTACGCGGGGGCGGATGGATCATGGCTGGTCGCTGTGACCGGACTTCGTCTAAGCCTATGATGAACGATGGACTGGGGAGCTGTCGGTTTTATCTTCTCTTCATCACCGGAGAAGTTCGCCGGACTTATCCCGGTTTTCGTCGTGGTTTGTTATGTTGTTTCTGGGTGTCGGGCCGCGATTGCTTTGGACCGTGAAGAAAGGCAATCGAAAGGAAAGGAAGAGGAGAAAGTGATCTGTACCCGAGTGTACTCGGTCTCACGTCGTGTATGTCGATTGATGTGCACGGGCACCGTCGCAGCTAACCTGGGTAAGGGAGGAGGGAAAGAGAGCGGGAGGGCTGAGGAGATTGGGAGAGGAGGGAAACGAAGTTTCGTACGTGGGTCAAGGAGCGGCTAAGTCGAGGTGTGGATGTCGATTGATGCGCACGGGCACCGTCGCAGCGAACCTGGGGAAGGGAGGAGGGAAAGAGAGCGGCAGGGCTGAGGAGATTGGGAGAGGAGGGCAACGGAGTTTCGTGTGTTCTATGTATTGAGATGTGGTGGGAGTATCTCGACTCTTCTCTATTTAGGCCAGGTGTCATACGCTCAAGGCTTTGCGATCTGTTGTTGGGTCAAGGAGCGGCCAAGTCGAGAGCGCGAGCGAAGGTAATCCGGTCGAATCCCGAGGCGGGAGTGTACTGTAGAATAGGAAAGGGAAGATGAACAAATGTTCGCGGACCTTTTGGAAGAAAATACTTGAGAGAGGGGATTGCTGGCCGTCGACAGTGCTTTTCCTCTCTCGATGATGCAGTCAAGGTTTTGGTGACCTCCCTGTGATGTGGCACGGGGCATGGCGGAGGGAGCGCAGACAGGAGAGCGATTGTGTGATAACAATTGAACTAGGACGAGAAGATGTAGAGGGAGGAGGATTCGCGGTCCTCGCGCTTTGTTTCTGACTGCGTTTTGGTTGCGTCTGGCTGTCTTTCCGACTCTGGCGTTTTGGTTGCGTCTGGCTGTCTTTCTGACTCTGGCGTTGTGGTTGCGTCTGGTGGTCTGGAACTGACACGTGGCAGAAGGTAGGAAGTGAAGGGGGGAGGGGAGCATGGGCGAGGGCAGATGGATGGACGGCGCATGGGCGAGCGCAGATGGATGGACGGATTCTTCGCTAGAGGATGGAGGGGGAAAAGCAGCATTGTCTGGCGCAAATGGAGGAGGGAAGGGGGGTTGGCGGCTTGTGCACTCGCATCCAGTCTTAATGTTTTCAAGGTTCGGCAGTCGTTAATAGCGTGGGATCGCGGGATTTCATGTTCCGAGGTTTGATGCCAAACAGGCACTCATTGATGACCTGAGGTGGGTTGGCTCCGGGTGTATGTGTGGGTGTGCGAGCGTGTGTGCCAGTGCGAGTGCGCGTGTCTCGGCGTGTCTGTGTGCGCGCTCACGTGTGTGTGTGTGTGTGTGAGAGAGAGAGAGAGAGAGAGAGCGCAGTGCACGTGTTGCTATTGACGATGGTGATGATGATAATGGAGGTAAAATTTGGTCAATGAAGGCTGGCCAGAGAGCGAGGATGCCGTTCGTTGAAGACTTTCTTCAACACTGTATGAAAGGCTTATGATGGTGTGGGGTGTGAGTCGTCGAGGACAGATGGGGCGGGCGGAGACACTGGACTCTTCCCAACCTTGTTGTCGAAGGACAGAGGAGGGGAGAGAAGACCGCGGTTCATGGTGTGTTTTTCTTTTTTTTAACATTTCTGTTGGTTGTTTTTCTGTTTGTATCTGACGGTGAGGGCTTAAATGAAATGCCGCCTCATGTTCGGGCGGTGAAATGTACAGTTCGTGAGTTGATCAGGACATGTTAAATGAGATATAACCTGTACAGAGAGCACCGAGGAAGAAGTGAATACGTGTAATTGGTTGGATTGGACTGGATTGGATCGACAGCGAGTCGTCCTACGCGTCAAAAATGGGGAGAGGAGAGAGAGAGAGACTGAGTGGCGGGGGGGAGTGGACACGGACATGAACTTTCAAGTGCTTCGGCGGCAAGAGGTAGTCGCGAGGCGGGGAAACGGACGGCAGACCGTTCTCCCATTGCGGATTCAAAAGTTCCCGGGAACTCCACAGAAGGAGAGTGAGGAGGCGACGAGTAGCTCTCTTGCACACGTTTAAAGCTCTGCTGAAATTGGGGATTTCCCAAGCAGAGGTGGAAGCTACCATGAGAATTTCTCTGGAGGTGAGTGACACGGCAAATGCTTGAACATGTCCATGGTAAAATGAATTTTGGAAATTCAGGCAGCGGATAGGAATCCCGTGAAAGACGCGAGAGAGGGGGAGAGAGAGGTTTGGGAGAGCAAAGATGGAGGGGAAGGGCCGCATGGTTGTCTTGGGGTCGCTGTTGTTTGCTTCGGAAGAGAGAGAGAGAGGGTGCACGTGTCATGGTTTTATTTTCTCCCTGAGAGAGAGGTAGAGGTGGTGCAAGCGGAGTTGAGAAAGGCGATAGGGGTGCTGGTGGGCGGAGCCGCGAAGGCAATCATGGCGCATGATGTGGGAGTGGGTATACGCCCGGAGTTCTGGTAAGGACGGAATATGATTATGACGGTTGTGATGATGATTGAAATGAGGCTGACGATCGGTTCTCTAGCCGCGATTCGAACCTTGTGCAGAATTAGACTGTTGTTGGGGCTTGAAGTTACTGCTATTCTCTTTTTTTCCCTCCCCTGTCGTAATGCTTGCTCCCGGAGTGAATGATGATGGGGTCACTTGAAACGACTCTCGGACGTTATGACGCTGATTTGGCTAGTTTCGGTTAATCCATTACTTCCGAGTCATGATTGAAGATGTACTCAGATTTTCTGGGTCGAAAGAGAAGATGGGGGCTCACGGTCGGGCAGAGGCGAGGGCGAGGGCGGGGCCAGAAGAGGCGGCGGAGACCTTTTTGGTCGTGCGATGTGCTTAACTTTGTTTATGCTGTCTTTTTCTTTGTGAAGAACGGTCTCCGTTGCCGTGGCGTGAAAATGTAATTAGACCTTTTTGCTAGTATGACGTAATCCACCTTTTTATGCTGTTTCTTCTTGTCAAGATCGAGTCTCTGTTTTCATGAAAAAAAAGAACAAGCAAAAGTCGCCTTTGACGTGGCGTGGTTTGATTGGATGGGGTTCGACTCGGAAATCCGAGGCGTTGATTAATGTCTTCTCCTCTCTTAACTAGTTTTTTTTTTTCTGTGTAGGGCGTCTGTTTCTCTCCCATCCTGGGGCTTTTTTTTTTTTTTTTCGTGTTTGTTTATTTGTTAATCGACTTTCGATTTTTTTTCGTGTTTGTTTATTTGTTAATCGACTTTCGAATTGGTGCATACTCTGCTGCACGAGCTGTGGAGCGTTTTTTTTTTTTTTCTCTGTGTAGGGCCTCTGTTTCTCTTCCATCCTGCGCCTTATCTTCCTTTTTCTCCCGTTTTTGTTTATTTGTCAATCGACTTTGGTGCATGCTCTGATTCTCGAACTCTTGGAGCGGTTTCGCTTAAGTCGATCAGTTTTTGATGAGATGTTCTCGCCAGAACTCAGTTGGCATCGTTTCGTTTTTCCTTTGTGGCTGTCACACAACCTGCAGTGGACTCGATTCCGCTTCGTCGTCGGACATGGGTGTGTTGGTGACGGTCTCATTTTTAACGGTACATTATCGGACTGCAGTGCTACACTTTTTTTTTTTTATTTTTTTTTTGAACTGTGCTACACTACTACGTTGAACGCGATCGGTGTTTTACAGAAGAAAAGAATGATTTAAATGTGTTCTCATTCAAGTCATATGTCAAATGTGTTTGAAAGTGCAGTAGTGCCTGCCCTGCCCCGTTTTCTGTTGTTTGCTCAGTCCTATGCATGCTTGTTTTCCTGAAACGCCCTCTTCATCTCCTTCGTGTTCTCTCTATATGTGTGCCCCCTTCCTCTTCCGTCTCTACCGTTCTTCCATCTCTTTTTCTCTTCGATAATTTCTTCCTCGTCTCCTGTTCCCCTACTCCCGCCTTGCTTTTCCTCTTTCAGTCGGTTCTCTCGCTAACGTATGTGCGTCCGTACATATGCTGCCGCCGGTTCCTCCCTCCCTTCTGTCCCTATGTGTGTGGGTAGCTACAGTCTTCCCCCGAATACAACGCGCGGGCATTATCGCCGAATTTGGTTCATCTTTCAGTCTAAATTCAGCTATAATGACCGTTCGTTGTATTCGGGGGAAGACTGTAGAGTGAGATTAACCAATCGAAATGAGAGGTTATTCCCCCATACATTCCGCGAGAAGGACATAATTGACAAGTGTACTCTATTGCTATGGTTCGAGGAGGGGTAGAGTCAAAGATTTGCCTGCTGTAAAAAAATACCATTGTATTCGAGGAGTGAAAAACTTGCGAGGAATTCCGGGGTTCCTCCCTCCCTTCTGTCTCTGTGTGCGTGTTGGTCTATGCCCTCCAGTTGGTTGAATGCCCCTCCCCCCTCCGCCTGGTTGAGTGCACCCCCCCGGCTCTCCTTTGCTTTCACGTTTCTGTGGCGTCTGCCGAGTTTTTTGTAACTTCCGCCTCGCTGTGTGCCTCGTCTCTCCCGTAGACGCGAAGAGGTCTTTTGTTGTGTATAATATTTGGGTGGATGCATTTCGAGCGCCGTGCTGCTGCAATTGCTTCGGTTCATATCGGACACAGTGAGGCCGGTGGCAACAACCGGACCGGTCGGTCGGTCTCGTGAACACGTGACTGTGCGGACCCATCTTAGGGCCTCGCCACACCACTAACGGAATGTGCAAAGTGGAGCATGTATGTTCCCCAAAACCATGGGAAGATGCACCCGCCACCAGAGGTGTTCTCTTTCACGTTTCGTGAGGGGTGTGGCGATGGCCTTATTCGCCACACGCTTTGCTGGTGAAAATTTGACTCAAAAGAGAAGGGCGGAGGTCACCACTCCTGCAACGCGACGTCCAAACAGTTTCCCAAGGTCCCCACGGCTGGTCCTGCAACAGGTGCAAGGATGCGGACTTGGCGCTTTCCTGTGCCTTTGATGGACTTCGGCCGGCAATTCTCCTGTCCCCTTTCTTTCTCGGTACTGAGTCGGCAGCATTATTCGGGAAAGTGCACATCCATGGGTGGGTGGATCGGCATTGTCGAGTCGAGTAAGATTGTCCCTCCGTGTAGCGAAAGAAAAGCTGGCTCACCCTGCCTTTTTAGCTTTTGCCCAGTCGATGGTTCAGGAATTGTAATTGGTACAGTTATATCATTAATCAAACGAGTCGATCAGTCGGTCAATCGATCGGAACAATGCGTCAACCAATGAAGCAATCAGCCTACCACTATCAATGATTAATGGATTGAGCGCTGTGTCGGTCGGGGCGTGTGCCGGGAGCCCATCGCTGTGGGCCATCTCGTTCTCATCAATCAATGAAAATCGACGGACGAAGACTGTCGTCGTCAGTAGGCGGAACAGTGTATGTCACAGCCCCCCATCGTGTCAGCATACGTGTGATGTGTTAAATCTCGAAGATACTTCCTATTTTTTTGTGTTTTTTTTTGCTATTGGAACGACATGACTTAATTCGTCTTATCGGGACCCATTGAGGCAAGGGCCTCTCGCAGTATCCGGCACGCACGCGTCACCAAATGGGCAAAATGAGACCGAGTCTTCCGCGTGAACATGGAAAGGTACACTTTTGTCTTTTGTGCAGTTGGTGAGTGGTGCGGCGAGCCCCATCAATCGCCTGTCTGTTCTACGTTGTTTGACTTCGTTTTTGTTTAGCTCTACAGGAGCGCACCTGGTTCGTGCGAAGGACGGCCTCAAGGGCCTTCTATCTAAATAGGCAAAGCTACATCGTAATCACTCCTGTCAAGGAATCTCAGGCGACGTTGCCCAACTCATATATATATATATATATAATCGCGGGGAGCTTGCTCAACTTGCCGCGTAGCCTGTGGGTGCGTCCCTTTTTTGAAGTTTTGGTGCTAACGAGGATATATGTATGTATGTGTATCTATATGCATATATAGTCGGCGAAACTCCGACGGAACAGCTGTCACAGCCCCTCGTTTGTTGTCCTCTTCTCCCTCCCTCTCTGCCTACGGTTTACCGTAGGCTGCTCTTTTTGACTATATATACATAGTTATGTTATATTTCTGTTGGCGTCTGTGGCGAGCGTCCTCTCTGTTTGCAAGGCGTGTTGCATCAGGCATGATTTTTGGATCGATATTCGCTTTGATTATTATGCTAATAATAATCCTCGGTGTGAATTTTGGGCGTAGTTGCACCACTCGCCATCCACTCTAGTTGTGTGGAGAGTGAAAAAAAACTCGAATCGTGTCGAACCGGAGGGCCTGGCCTGGTTGCACGTACTCGCCACTATATTTTATCTATAGAAAAGTTAAAAAAAAATTGTCTGCATGATCTCCACTCGTGAAGCACTGCACTCGCCAAGTTGTTTTGTGGAGGGTCACGAGGATGATGAACTCGTCGCACTTCACTCGCCAAGAAGTTGTTTTGTGGAGGATCACGAGGTTGAACTCGTCTCCACTCTGTGGAGGATTGTAAAAGGAGACTTGGCGAAAGTTCTGACACGTTTCCCCCCACCAAGTTTGGGGAGTAGGTGCGTTAATCAAGTTTGGGGAGTAGGTGCAAGTAGGCGCCTACTCGCCGAACTTGGCCTATAGAGAGTAGTGCAAGCAGGGCCCTGTATCGGACGTCCCGAATACTCTACGCGCATCAAGTTTGGTGACCGTCTTCCCCCGAACACAATGCACCCTTGTTTTGGCTGTATCTGGGCGGAAATATAGCTTGTAATTTTTAGGGTGCGTAATGTTCGGTGGAGGATGGTAGTAAGTTTAACCAGGCGCCTACTCGCCAAACTTAGCCTATGGAGAGTGTAGTGCAATGAGGCCCTTTATAGGATGTCCTGAAAGGAGTATTGCTTGCTTATCAGCAGTGCCAGGTGTTTGTTTCTACAGCGTCTGGAGTGTATTTTTTGGCTGTGACAGATTTCTTTGTTTCATGGGTGTTTTGCTTGCTTGTGATGGGGTGTGAACCGACAGTCTGTTGAGTTTTCCATCATGTATATAATACATACGTATATAAATACATATGTATACTGGTGTGGGTGAGTGATAGTCTGCTTTGATTTTTGTCACAGGTACCTTGAGGGCAGTGGTTGGTGCCCACCTCAGGGTATCAGTTATTGGGCAGTCATTGATGCTTAACCACATCCCCTCGTTTGTTGTCCTCTTCTCCCTTTCTCCCTCTCTGCCTACGGCTTACCGGGCAGCTCTGTTTGACTATATACGATATATATATATATATATATATACATGTGTACATAGTTATGTTATGTATATATATATATGTGTGTGTACACGTGTACGTAGTTATGTTATGTATATATATATACGTGTGTGTACATGTGTACGTACTTACGTTATGTTTCTGTCGACTTCTTTGGCACTCCTCCTCTCTGTTTGTAAGGGGCTCGTTCCACAACTTGCCATCCGCCACAAACCGTGGCGATGCTCCAAACCAGGAAATCGTGGCGGAAAGGTGGGGGTTCGATCCTGGTAGAGATAGTGGACTGTGGTGGATGGCGAGGCAATGGAACGGTGTGGTTGTTTAGCTACGGTTTTGTAGTGGGACTAGGCCGAGCCTGGTGGGGTGGTCCGCGTCCTCGTGGGATAAGGTTTGAAGGTAGGTCCTGGAACAATCATAGACTGGAAAAAACTGATACGCGCGGCGGAAACTCGCCAACACTACGGCACAATGGAGACCGAGGGTCAAGGTTGTCGCTGTCAGAGGCGGCCAACACTACGGCACAATGGAGACCGAGGGTCAGGTTGTCGCCATCAGAGGCGGCCGCCACTCAAAGCGTTTCACAGAGGGTGAACATACCGCAGGCGGGGGAACCAGAGGCTTTGGCAACTGACGGCCGCCAAATACATTTGTTTGTGAATTCTGATGATGCTCGTTTTGTGGTGATTGGTGATGTGATGAAGGCACGCCCGCCACGCGTGGCGGATGGCGAGTAGGGGAATGAGGCCCTAAGGCGTGTTGCATTGGGCATGATTTTTGGAACGATATTTGCTTTGCATATTATGCTAATAACCGTCTGTGCGAATTTTGATCGGATGTCCCCAAAAAACAGTATTCACTTGCTTATCAACAGTGTCAGGTGTTTGTTTTT